TGAAAATTTGACTCTAATTAAGCCAAAAATTTCACTTGGTAAGATTCTTGAAATACTTGATTTGACTCATTTTTTTCTTATTTAAAGAATCTTACCAAGTGAAATTTTTGGCTTAATTAGAGTCAAATTTTCAGGCTAACAAGACAAATAATCTTACACATTCTGAAAACAAGATTATTAAACTTACACAATCAGTTCTTGTTCAGTAAATCAGTCTCAAAACAAGATCAAAAAGACTTTTTGGCTGATGTAAGATTTTAAAACTTTGTAAGATGGACAGTTTTTGCAGTGCGGTTCATTTCGCCAAAATTGCCCAGCCCGTTCCGAGTGTTTTGTTTACATTCAATGCAAACCCTCATTTCAGAACAACGTAGAGATATCTGGTAAACTACTAAAGGAAACTGTGCCAAACTGAATCGTTTCATATATTTCGGGGTGACCTTGTTATGTTTCGTAGTTTGGATCAAGTTCCTTTAATTCCACTGGATCGCTCCAGGAGAAGCAGAAACCAGAGGAAAACAAACAAACGACCAGTTCTGCTCTCCGATGTWTTGTTCGAATGCCCTGCATCCCTTTTGAATTTTTCATTCGCTGCAGCTTCTCTAATTATTCCGTATCGGTGCCGGTTTTTCCCTCCCTGACGTCTCGACCAGACGCTCACCACCTCCTCTCTCTCTCCCCCTCTCCTCCCCATCCTCTCCCTCTCCTTCAGTGAGATGAAGCAGGAGCTCGCGGAGGAAGGCAGCAGATGCTCCATCCTCTCCAAGCAGCACCGTTTCAATGAGCACTGCTGCATCCGCTGCTGCGCGCCCTTCACCTTCCTGCTCAACCCCAAGCGCCAGTGCCTGGACTGCCGCTACAACGTCTGCAAGAGCTGCTGCACCTACAGCAAGAGGGACAAAGCCTGGCTCTGCTCGACGTGCCAGAAGGGCAGGTTAGTGTTTTTCACCCAGACAGAGAATGAATGGAGGGGGGGTGGACGGACGCATGGCGGAGACACTTGGACATGACTGACCAGGGGACACTGGAGTCAGGATTGATTTTAATTTCCTTTTTGGACGGGGAGGTGACGAGGGTTTAATGTGGGTCGGAGGAGACGGATGAGAGAGGAAATGTGAATGAATGAGTGGAGAAGGCAGAGGGGTGAGTGCGTTTTTAGGGATTTTAGGGGATGTTTTAAGAAATGGGTTTACTTCTTTATGTAAAAATACGCAACGATTTTGTAATAAAGGTTTTTAAAAAAAAAACACAACAACTACAGGAAAACAAATCAAAAAAGGAGGTAGAACATTTGGGTACACTGGGAAATTTTAGAAAATTACCTAAATTTTTAAAACAACCAAATGAAAAGACTTTTTTGTTTTTGGTTAGTTTTATTTGAACCTTTTAGATGTTATTTTTGACATACTGTATGGAAATTGATGCATTTGTTTTCCTTTGGCTTTATTTTTTTCACTTGTTTCTTGCCCTCTGATTTACGTTCTTATGTGGGGAAATAATGTTTTGTATGTTTTATAGGACAAAAGAGTGGAATGATTGCAAATGTACCATTTMTGTGTTATGTGTGTGTGTGTGTATGTATGTGGGCATGTTTTCTCTATATGGTGGGAACCGTTTTCCAGAAAAAGGCAGCCTCATGGGGAYCAGTGCCCGGTCCCCATGGGTACGGATGCTATTTTCAGGTGGGAGGGTTTGGTTTACCAAGGTGTGAATTGAGTTTAGGTTAGTTTTAGGGTCAGGTAGGTACCTGTGAGGTTAATTTTAGGGTAAATGGTCAGGGTTAGGATATAAAATTACCAGAAAATGAATGGAAGTCAATCCACAATCCCAACGGGGATATAAAAACAAAACCTGTGTGTGTGTGTGTGTGTGTGTGTGTGTGTGTGTGTGTGTGTGTGTGTGTGTGTGTGTGT